GCCATGTTGGATAATGAGGAAGGATAATTTTGGCGCTGGCACTGAATATATAGGTCTCGCAGCCGGTCGTTCAGATCTGCGGGCCGTAAGAACCGGGGCTCGGAGGACGGCACACAGGGTGTCTGTGCGCGCTTGTAGGGAGGATTTACCCTCGAATATCGGTCAGGGCTACTGCAGGCAAGGACCCGTTTGGCTCGTTCCGCGTCATGGTCGCAGCTCCCATCCCCTAGTTATCTATTCTATCAGTGGGCTGTGAATACGCTGGGAGGGTAATTTTTGAAGACTTTGATGGCTTTTGGCGATGTTTAACTTTTGTGTTTTCGGTGTGCCTAAAAACACGAATTTTGCTCTTCATTCCGTCGGACATCCGCGTCCGTCTGTAGGCCTATATAGCGTTCACGACAATAGAGAAACTCGGACACCATTACATGACTCCATCTACTTGATCTAGCCCGTTTTAGACCTTCGGAGGACCGAGAGTCTATAAAAAATCCAAATCAACTTTATATGTGTCTCTGTAAAATGTCTATTTGTCTTGAAAGTTCGGGTCATCAGATGCTACACTGACCTATGCGGTATGCACGATGTCACCCAGGCACTGTGAAATGGAGGGGCCGTATCGACACCTCCTTTACATTGTATATTTATTATCTTTCATTGACTACCAAGTCAATTCGTGATTCCAAACGTAACTTTAAATGTTATTTCGGGGTCTTTTAGTTGAATGATTAATCACTGCAAAAGGCCCAGACCAGCGTATCTTTAGATTAGCAGCCATGGTAGCTAGCTTAATACCTTGGCTTAACAGGCTTTGTACGAATGCCAGTAATTCCAGGCCTCGTCAGCCGGCTCACGTAAGTGTCTGGTTTTGGTTTCTTTTCCTGTGGCTCCAATTCGGGGCCCTCTGTCCGCTGTCTCTTGAACCGTTCTCTATCTATCTCATGACTCTCTTCAAAAGCTGGCATTTTCTCAGGCGTTAATGGCTTGGGGTCAGCCTCAAAGTATTCGTGGTCCAAGGCGTCCTGAGCGTTCCAGCGCTTTTCAGGATCCAATGTAAGAAATTTGTCAAGAAGCAGAACTCCAACCTCACCCATCAATGGCACGAAACGCTGCTCCAAAGACCGCTTGCACGTAAGCCCAATATTAAGGTCTTGCTTGTTAGGAAGTTGTGATGCAGAAGCCCAGTTCTCGCGAGATGGTGGGCCAACCATGTCGAATATAAGTTGCGCCTGATTGGAATCAGAAGACCCAACCAATATAGGTTTCTTGGTGAAAAGCTCCCCAAACACACACCCAACTCCCCACATGTCCACGGCGGTTCCGTATTTGCGTTCTCCTAAGAGCAACTCGGGTGACCTATACCATCTAGTCACTACCAATGCTGTGTATGCTCTCTCGCCTCCGCCTGGTCCTAATCCCTTAATAGGGGTCTTACCATGATATATTCTGGCAAGCCCAAAATCTGCTATTTTCACCACCCCGTGCGGATCTATCAAAATGTTGGCGGCCTTGATGTCTCGATGAAGGTAGTGCTGTTGGTGAATATAGTCAACTCCACGAAGAAGCTGTTGCATGATACATTTCACCATGGCCTCTGTAAGCTTGATTTGTGGGTTTTCCAAGAGTCCCACTAAGTCCAAAGACATGTACGGCGATATTGTGTAGAAACACCCTCTCTGACGCACAGCATCCTCTGGAGTACTGGCTTTTACCTCTTCATAGATCATGCCTGTGATCTTAAGAACATTCTTATGACTTAGACTCTTGAGAATGGTGATCTCTCTCATTGCTGTGATGGGGAAGCCTTCTTTGGCCGAGTGATTTATTAATTGTTTCAATGCAACCAACTCTCTTGTTCTTTTATTCTTCGCCTTTTGCACAACACCAAAGGTACCCTGACCAATCTTTTTTATAATGTCAAACTCGGCGATTTTGGACATGGTTTCAAACTTATTATACGGCTGCCGTGGCCGCTTCTGACGAACAATTCCCATGATGTCTCTATAACTGATTGTGTCGAGATGCGATGATAGTGTTTTAAGTGCGCGCACTATACAAACGTTGGTCGATTAATATATATATGCTTTCCTCATAAAATGAAGTGAATAGATGCTATTGATTAATTTTCGTAACTGTTTCGTTATACCTCTGTACTCTCCGAATCCTGGGCGAGTCTCGCAAGCTTTTTTCTTTCCTTGGACAATTTTCTTGCAGCTCTCACATTGAAACCACCTTCGAGAAGCTTGGTGGTGTCCTCCAACTTCAAACCAGCAACCTCTGGAAGTAAGAAGAAGACAAAGATGAAGGAGACAAAACACAAAGCCGCGAAGAAGGCAAATGTTCCGGGTGGCGTGATTCTTTCAAGCATCGTCAAGAAAGTAGATGCAATCACCAAGGAGCCGGCCCAATTGGTAGCTGCAGCGTACATGCCTCCCACTGATCTCACATTCACATCCGAGAAAAGCTCGACACCAGTCCAGGCACTGTTACCGATACCAATGGCGTACGAAGCCACGTAGAATACCATACCCAAAATGATGACAATTCCCCAGCCTGTGATGCCGGTGGTTTCAACAACCACCTCTTCGTTATCACCAAACTTGACTCCCAAGAAATGGAATGCAATAGCGCAAAGCACAAGAGCAGCACACATGCCGGGAATGGCAAAAAGGAGAATACGACGACGGCCGACAAAGTCAATGATACATAGAGCAATGAGTGTAAACACGAAGTTAGTGGCTGCAATGATGATAGACACGGCTGTAGCATTCTCGAAACCAATGGTTTTGAAAATGGTAGCACTGAAATACATCAAGGAGTTGAAACCAGTGAATTGCTGAATACCCTGTAAACCACACGCCAAGATAAGCGCACGGAAGTTGGCTGGCTTCGAGTGAATGACTTTGATGGAGTTCCAGATTTGCGAGATGGGGCCACCTGGGACGGTAGAGTTGGAGTGAATCATGTCATCCAAAATAGCATCAATGTGAGCTTCGGATGAATCGCTGTGAGTCTTCTTCAAGACCTCTCTTGCTCTTTCGTAGTTTCCGTTGATGACGTAGTATCTAGGGGTGTCTGGCAAGAACAAAAAGAGTGCCAGCTGGATGACAGCTGGTGGCATGCACAAACCCACAGACACTCTCCAACCACCGTTAACGTCAGTCAAGCCCCAGTTGATGAAGTATGCCACTAACTGACCGCCTGTAATAAAAATACAGTTTGTAACGATCAAACGACCTCTATACTTGGAAGGTGCCAACTCACTCAACATAAGTGGTGCTATAAGGGAAGCAATACCGACACCAAGTCCCAAGACAAATCTACCAGCAATCATGGTCCAGACGTGTCTGGCCACGAGCTGGATGACGGTGCCCACGACGAAGATAACATTTGAGCCCATGAGCACACGCTTTCTACCCACCAAGTTGGCGCCCACACCACCCAAGATAGCGCCGATCAAAGCACCCAAGGAGGTGGCCGATGTGATAAGTTCTTTTTCCTGCGAGTTCAAGATCTTGTTTGACAAGTCGGTACCCACATTAACCAAAGCAGCTGAGATGTAACCTGTGTCGTAACCGAACATGAAACCTGAGATGGACGAGGCCAACGTCAAGATCATGACAAGCTTGGTGGGGTGTTCTCCCTTTGTGGAGTCACCATTTGCCCTTGCTCCTGCTGTGTTGGCTGATGCCATCAGCATCGAGGTGGAGTCCTCCTGAGAGGTGAACTTGATGACATTGGCGCCATCTTTGCGATGTGTCAGTTCTCGTAGTAAGTTTTCCAGAGAGTTCTCTGTGGAATGTGTGGCTGACCTGGCGTCCATGGCAATAAAGTTGTTGGGAAAAAACGAGGAAAAAGGACTGCTTTTAAAGTGGAGAGGAGCCGTGCATGAATTCGGCGAGTACAGGCGCGACAAAATAGGAGAAAAAACACCGCTCGGCGAAATCTAAGCAACTTCTCGGCGAATGCCTTAGAATGTGCAGGTTAACAAACGCCCAAACTCACGATCAAGAGCAAGGAGGGATCAAAAATTAAACTTTTTTGAGATGTTTGACTTGCTGGTTTTCAGGCAGAGTATTCATCAATCTCGTTTTATGCTTTCAAGGACACACAGAACGCATGTGATGGGAAGATATAGGATAGGTTGGATTGTCGAAAACGGATGGCTGCGAAAGACAAGAATCTGGGACATTGTCCTGTTCGGCGAGATTTTGAAGGTATTGTGAAAGTAGCCAAGACGAACATGATTTTTTTGAAATCATCGAAAGATTCTTCGCTAGAGCCGCGGATGTCATTCTTCGTAGACCTTTGTAGTTCACATTCAAGATCATATCTCAAAGTTGGACAGGGTCTAGGTGGCTGAGATGAGATCTCGCCGGACTTGAGGTAGTGATGCAGTCACCGTTATGCAATATGGCCGCAAATCAGTTTGAGACTTTGCCCTAGCGTTTTTATTACCCCATTGCATTACACCGTTGATGCATGTAAGATTGCAATGAATTATACCCTGAAGATCTTTTAGATTAAAAGCGTGCCCAATGTACTGATCAGCATGTTGAATCGATGGCTTAGATCACAACGGTTTTTTTTTTGCTTAGCTTCGAGTTGTACGTCGAAGTAACTTATCTACTTTAGAATAACTTCAGACCACATGATGCAAAATAGGTCCACCATTACGGCATAACTGATAACTTAATCGAATGCTTTTGTTAAAATAAATCAAATTCGACTCGACAAGCCAATTAAGTTGGGCGCTACCGTCGTGGAACACGAATGATAAAAGTGCTTTAGGGTGCAATTAATTTAAATAGCTTGCCTCGCTACCTTAAACACCCGGGTCAGCTGGAAGCGCCCTTCTCTACTCGATCGAACCCCTTGGGACTCTCAGTCTACATCGTCGTTTCAATGTGTGTCTAGTCTACTTTTTACATGCTCAAGGACTTGCTTAAAGAGACACCCTCAGCCAGGGCGGATCGTCAGCATTAGAAGTCGCTTTTGATTTAGCGCCTCTTTGGTGGGTTGAAAGTGATCTTTCTGTTCTTGATTGGCTGCCACTTGAACTTCTTGACCCAGACAGACAACAAGTAGAGAGAAGAGGTGATGATGAGTGCTTTGAGACCCCATCTCTTTCTGTCGTCATGCTCAGGCTCAGAAGCCCAGTTCAAGAAATGAGAAACGTCCTTGGCCATCTGCGAGGTGGTGGCAGGAGTGCCGTCCTCGTACTCAACCAAGTCGTCGAACAACACTCTACCCATGGCAATAGCACCACCTGGGAAGTATGGGTTGTAGTTAGATCCTGGAGGCAAGGTGACACCAGCTGGTGGCTCCTCTGGGTAACCAGTCAAAAGGGAGAAGATGTAGTCGGCACCACCGTGTCTAGCCTTGACAATCAAGGACAAGTCAGGAGGCAAAGCACCCTGGTTAGCGGCTCTGGCGGCTTGCTCATTCTCGTATGGGCCTTGAAGGTAGTCGGCCAACTTACCGATTCTCTTTCTGGGCTTACCCTCATCATCGGGCTCGTCGTCGTATTCGAGCTCCTCGGCCATGGCCTTGGCCTCAGAGGTGGCATGGGAGACACCAACCAAGTTTCTCCAGGCAATTCTGTCCAAAGAGTGGCAGGCAGCGCAAACCTCTCTGTAGACCTGGAAACCTCTTCTGATGGAGGCGTGGTCGAATGTGGAGAACATACCGTTCGAGGGCCACTCGAAGGCAGGAGCATGGAGACCGTGCTCAGCAGCGGTCATGGCAGAGGCGGTCATGGAGTCCTGGTAAAGGATGTACGAGGCTCCAAGACCGGCACCAGCCACAGTCAGCATCACAACCTTGTTGGATGCAACTCTTGATGCCGTTCTGAACATGCTGGATGAATATGTGCAAAAATTAATGGGGGTTGTTGAAGGCTTTAGTGAGTGTGTTCTTGCTCGAGATCAATAGATGTTCTGAGCTTGGGATGGACCACACGGAAGCTGGGTTCTAGACTTGTGAAAAGCGCAGGGTAGCGATATAACGAGTCCACACAAAACCGAAAGAAGGTGAATTGGGGATTGAAGACCGTGCGTTTGGTGGTATCGGTGGGTTATTTTTTTTTTTTTCAACTATTGAGCACTGAGGAAATAGTGTAAAAGAAAGTCCCGCGATTGGCCAGAGCAATTTGATATATGCACGACACACCTAACTGGCTGTGCGAGCTAATCCTAAGCCTCTCAGGCCACACGTATCAAAGGATGTATATTGTATAGAAGGTACGGTGTCAGAGGGAACTTGTGTCAAAGCTAGAGATGATACAAGGCGTTCTAGAGGGTTTTACTATATGGTCACGTGGTTTCCAGCTACCATTGGAAGCCCCAGAATCCGTTCCTCACAAGCTTTTTTCACATTGAATATAAAATCACTCAATCTGTCAGATGCCATATATTTCGTAGAATTGGTGGTGTTCTTCTGACACTTCTGTGCGTCGCGTGGTTGCAAAATGAGCTCTTCTCCAATCAGGACAAGCTGATTAGTGTAGCCGGGTGAACCGAGGATGCCGCCTGAAAAATCATCCTAATTGAACGAATTTGCGATTAGATTTGGGTTTTGAAGATAAATTGTTATCTTTCCGGTATTCACGGCATTGTAGTCGCTGTGCTTATGATCGGCCTGTTCAGATCCGCGCCCAATGAGCACCAAGAAATGGTCTGAGGATTGCTCTACAAGCTGGAAGGGGTTTTAATGGTTCTGATTGTTTGGCAGTATTCACTTTTTCATCTTATACGCTTTTCTGTGTTTCTAAACGACATTTAGCAGCCATTCCCGTAGTACCAGATGCATGTCTCACCATGGACTACCATTGGCTACACTCCATCCACGGAACCTCACTTGTAGACCTACGTCACCCATTGACCCGTAGAAATAGCTCTAACTTGCATAAGTCGAGTTTACCTCACGATTCACAAAAAGGTCACTACGCTTCATGTCCATCCTAATTTATTAACGGCCGCATTGGCAAAAGTCTATACATTAAGCCTTGATCTTGGCCAAGGCCTGCTCAATGTCGGCCAACAAGTCATCGGTCTCCTCGATACCAACGGAAACTCTAATCAAATCGTCAAAGACACCAGCCTTCTCTCTCTCGGCCTGAGGAATACCACCGTGGGTCATGATAGCAGGGACCTCAATCAAGGACTCGATACCACCGAGGGACTCAGCCAAAGTGAAGAGCTTGGTGGAAGAGGTGAAGACAGAGGCAGCCTTGGCACCACCGGCGATTCTGAAAGAAATCATACCACCTCCAAGACCGTCACGGTGCTGCTGGAGAACAACAGAGTGTCTGGCGTGAGACTTGAGACCAGGGTAGTTGACAGCAATGACGGACTCGTGCTGGGACAAGTACTCGGCAATCTTCTGGGCGGTGAAAGCAGCCTGTCTGACTCTCAAGTGCAAGGTCTTGAGACCTCTGTGGGCCAACCAGGAGTCGAATGGAGAAGGCACAGAGCCAATGGCGTTCTGCAAGAAACGGTACTTCTCGTGCAACTCGTCGTTGTTGGTGGCCAAGACACCGCCAACCACGTCGGAGTGACCGTTGATGTACTTGGTGATGGAGTGGACAACAACGTCAGCACCGTGCACCAATGGGTTGGAAACGTATGGGGACAAGAAGGTGTTGTCGACGACCAAGATGGCGTTCTTGTTGTACTTCTTGTTGTGCTCCTTGACAATATCGGAGACAGCCGAGATGTCGGTCACAGACAAGGTAGGGTTGGATGGAGTCTCGAGCCACACAAGCTGAGTGCTCTCACGGAGAGAGGCCTCCAAGTCCTTTTGCAAATCGTGAACAAACTCAATGTCAAGGCCGTGGGTGTTGGCGACCTTGGTGAAGTAACGGTGAGTACCACCATACACATCACCACCGGAAACAACGTGGGAGCCAATAGGCAAGGACTGGAGGATCAAGGCAGTAGTGGCAGATCCGGAAGCAATGGCAACGGCATGCTTGGCCTTCTCCAAGGAAGCAATGGCAGCCTCGAAGTTGTCTCTGTTTGGGTTACCAGATCTGGAGTAGTCGTAGATACCAATGGGCTTAGAAGGCTCCAGCTGAGCGAAAGTGGTACTGAGGGAGATGGGCTCGATGACAGCTCCCGTGTTTGGGTCGATAGGGGCACCAGCGTGGATGGCTCTGGTGCCGAAGCCGTAGTTAGTGTTGGAGTCGACGGTCATTGTGTAGTATGTGATGAAGTAGTAAGTAGTTGGATTTGTCAGAGAATAAGTAGCGCCACGGTTTTTTCGCCGGAAGTTTCTTTTTGCCTTGTGGTACTGCAGGCAACCTCGATGCCCAGAGCGAGCCACAGTAAAGGCAAGCCGGAGCGGAGCTGGTGAGGGTATATGACACGGACTGCGAGGTCGAAAATGGCGATCGAACCGGGTTTGGTGGGTCGAATGTTGTTAAACTTTGCAATGGGGAGCAAATTCTTCGATTTTATGCTAATCACGTGACTTGTCAGATGATGGCATCTCTTCCCGGTTTCCGCTTTTGAGGACCGTGTCGCCATCAATGGGAGATTCGAAGTAGTAAAACGAAATCCATAGGGTGCCACCTTCCTCAAAACGAGACAATTCGTTTGCAAAGCTGTCAAAGCACCTGGAAACCCTTACACGTACGATCTAACGCATCGCTGCAAAAGCCGCGCGCTCGGAGTTTTGCAATGGTTCCGAGTCTGGTATCAAGGGGAAACTTCTGACCCTGTATTTTGAAATTGAGGTCCACAAAATACAACCAGTCACGATGAATTCTCGTCACACAGTGTTAATCTCCTGACAAGGGCCCAAGATCAAGCTACACCCCGATGTTACTTTAGGCTTTGTGGCAATTTCACGAAACAATACCACACCATACACTTCCATGCCAATGGCCCCGCAAGCCAATCCATCAACCCCTTGGATCACCAACATTGTCAGGATTGCCCAGACTGCCGAGCTCTGGAGAAGTCGGCCACCACATTCCTCGTTTCATATCCCTATTTGCATGGGTCTCGCCTCCTGGCTAGCCCAGTACCAAGCCTAGGTCGTCAATTCTGCCGGCGCAGTTAGTGTCAGTTCCATGCGTTGGAGCAACTGCCTTGGGGTCATCAGGTGTCACAGAGTCAAAAGTCCTCGTCACTGAAGTTTAGTAAAGGCTGCGTTGCAAGCGCACTAACCCATGTGAAGCGGAAGACCGATACACTTACACGTGCTGTGTGCGGACGGTCAAGCCCAGTGTTTGCCAAGGAAGGCAGGCTATGGCAGGCGGAGCACACAGCCAGATTGGAGTCTGGGGCCGTGGCAGTAAGTGGCCATCAACTAAGCATTTTCTCGATACGAGAGCAGGCTCAGGCCGGAAACGTCAATTTCTCCGTCTGTGAGAAATAGCCGCCCTGCGATAAGAGGGTGATCTCAAAAGGCAAGGTGTTTGAGGCGGCCGATGAGCATTGGAAAGCGAGCTGAGACGAGGGTGGCTTGGTGAAAAAGAAGCGCAGTCGATGATCATCGAAGGCGAGGGTTTAAGGTTGTGGGTGAATGACGGAGGCGCTTTCCGATACCCAGGGGGCCATCGTGGGAGGGAAGTACCTTAATGGTGCGTCAGCAGAACACAAAACTGAAAATCCCCCAAATTTGCTGAATCCGTGGAGGCTTTAGGGAAACCCGGGCTGCAAAGATGGAGCCGTACCATGCAAGTTGGCGCGGAAGGGCCTGTGAGCGATTTTACAATTCGGTTGGGACCGATTGCAATGTTGCTATCTAATCTAATGCAAGATTGCAAGGATCTTGAACGATTAATCGTACAGCACGGGCTCCTCCCAGTCCGCTCGTACGAAACCCACGCACCACCGCACTGTAACCGGGCAGATAACAACGAGGCGCAGCGTAGTTTCAGCTAGCCAGGTGACAGAAAAAAACGAGGTGACAGGTGCCAGAAGGCCTGCGAAACACCGAACCCGCCGCGCCAGTGCGACCGATGAAAAAAAATCTCATTCTAGGCACAAAGGGCAAAGAAAAATTTCTACGACACCACTGCCCTTGGCGCTGTCAATGACAGACAGTCAGCTCTCGAGACCTCAACCGCGGTCAACCAGCCTCTTTTTGTAAAATTCGCCCATCAATTGCCCATATTCGCTCGCCATTTTCTCCGTCCGTGCCAAGGGAGGCTGTGCGGAACGGCTTGCTGCCGGTCTGCCTACCTGCCTGCCTTCATCCTGCCCACCTGCTTTTTGCTCGCCTGCCTGGCGCCAGTGTGGCTCTGCAGTCGTTCTGCGCCTTATCAGCCTATATCTTATCCACGCTCGCCTTGGATCCAACAAACCCCATGTCTCTCCAAGTGCCCCAAGCTCACGACGATGAGCGATCGCTCACGTCAGTTCACTCGGACGAGCCTCTTCAGAATAGGCAGTTTCTGCTTTCGGTGGGAGACCTTTCCAGGCTCCATGATCCTAAGCTGTTGATCCATTTGCGCAGCTTGGGCGGCTCTCTGGCCCTAGCAGCGCTGCTCCACACAGATCTCAGTCGTGGTCTTGAAGCCTCAGACCTGACTTCTGCCAGACAAAATTTGTACGGTACCAATGTGCTCCCGACGCGTGCCGCCAAGGGCTTTTTCCAGCTCTGTTTCGAGGCCATGAAGGATAAGGTATTGATTGTCTTGACGGTCGCTGCTATTGTCTCCTTGGCTTTGGGCCTCTACGAGACGTTCGGTCATGAAACAATGTACGACGACGAGGGCATGCCATTGCCTAAGGTCGACTGGGTTGAGGGAGTGGCCATCATTGTCGCCGTGGTGATTGTGGTGGTTGTAGGCGCAGCCAATGACTACTCCAAAGAGCGCCAGTTCGCCAGACTCAACGCAAAGAAAGAGGACCGCGATGTTGTGGTTGTACGTGATGGTGTCCAGCGGATGGTTTCCATCTACGACCTTCTCGTGGGTGATCTTATCAGCTTGGCTACCGGAGACGTTGTCCCCGCTGATTCCTTACTTGTCTCAGGCGAGCTTGAATGTGACGAGCTGGCCCTCACAGGTGAACTGGAAACCGTCACTAAGAAACCCGCTGATGAATCTCTTGAATATTTTCAATCGGTACAGGCAGAATTCCCGGGTGAGGACATCGGCTCCACTGCAGTGAAGTTGAAAGATCCTTTCTTGATTTCCGGAAGCAAGATTCTCTCCGGCGTTGGCTACTCTATGGTCACCGCTGTGGGCAAGCACTCCATTCATGGCCGGACCATGGGCTCGCTCAACCAGGAGAACGGCGCCACGCCTTTGCAAGAGCGTTTGGACAACTTAGCTGAGGGAATTTCCAAATACGGTCTTTTGGCTGCTTTGGTTCTTTTTATCGTCTTATTTATCCGTTTTTGCGTCAACATTTCCGGTGACGGTCGTTTCAGTGACATCTCCAGTACTGAAAAGGGTAAAAAGTTTTTGGACATTCTCATCGTCGCTATCACCATTGTGGTGGTGGCGGTTCCTGAGGGTTTGCCTTTAGCAGTTACCCTTGCTTTGGCTTTTGCAACTACCAGAATGGCCCAGAACGGTAATCTTGTCCGTGTTTTGCGTTCGTGTGAAACCATGGGTGGAGCCACTACAGTTTGTTCCGACAAGACAGGTACTTTGACGGAAAACAAAATGAGAATCGTTACCGGTTACATTGACGAGGAGCATCGTTTCGACGACACTCATAATGCTGAGATGACCGCCATCGAGAGGTCGTCCGAAATGTTTGGAAAAGTTCCTCAACAAATCAAGGACGTCATCCTTCCAAACATCATTAGCAATTCTACTGCATTCGACAATCCTGACTATGACGAGGCTAAGGCCCTTAACGCTCGCATCAAGCCAAAGAAGCAAAACTTGATTGCACACCTCTTTTCCAACCAGAACGAGAAAAGACAAAGAGAGATCCAGCAAATGGGACTAGTGTCGGAGCCATACTTGGGTAACAAGACTGAGTCTGCTTTGTTGATCATGGCAAGGGAAAAATTGGATCAATTTACCAGTGTCCCACTAGACCAGCAGCGTGATATTAACTCGAAGGATATTGTGGATGTCATTCCATTCGAGAGTTCAAGGAAATGGTCGGGTATTGTAATGAAGACTCAGACCGGATACCGCCTTTACGCTAAGGGTGCAGCCGAAATTGTTTTCAAGAACTGTTCTCACCATTTGGATGCCGATGGCGCTTCAGAGGCAATGACCAGAACCGACAGAGACAATGTCCTCAACACTATCGATGGGTATGCGAACGATGCCTTGCGTGCCATTATCCTTGCTCACAAAGACTTTGTTGGCGTGGAGAGTTGGCCGCCTGTTGGAATGGAGGATCCCGAGCGTCAGAATCAGGCTAACCCTGAGATGCTCTTGGATATCAATGCTTCCCCACACGATTGCACCGATGCACTCACAATGGATATCTTGGTTGGTATTCAGGATCCACTTAAGGAGGGTGTTGGCGAGGCTGTCAAGCAGTGCAAGATCGCCGGTGTGAATGTCAAGATGGTCACCGGTGACAATTTGAACACCGCCAAGGCTATCTCCAGAGCTTGCAACATTCTCACCCCAGCTGATTCATCCAACCCCTACGCCTATATGGAGGGTCCAGCCTTCAGAGCTATGTCGGAGCAGGAAAGAACCAGAATTGCTCCGCACTTGCGTGTTTTGGCCAGATCTCAGCCTGAAGATAAAAGAATTCTCGTTGACACTTTGCGCAAGGCTGGTGAGGTTGTGGCTGTTACCGGTGATGGTACCAATGATGCTCCAGCTTTGAAATTGGCTGATATCGGTTTCTCCATGGGTATCAGTGGTACCGAGGTTGCTAGAGAGGCTTCCGATATTATTTTGATGACCGATGACTTCACAGATATTGTGCAAGCTATCAAATGGGGCCGTACTGTTGCTGAGTCTATCAAGAAGTTCATTCAGTTTCAATTGACAGTCAATATCACTGCTTGTGTTTTGACATTTGTCTCGGCTGTTGCTTCTTCGAATGGTGATTCTGTTTTGACGGCGGTGCAATTGTTGTGGGTCAATTTGATCATGGACACTTTAGCTGCTTTAGCTTTAGCGACTGACAAACCTGACGATGCCTTGCTCAACAGAAAGCCTGCGGGTAGAAGAATGCCATTGATTAGTGTCTCAATGTGGAAAATGATCATTGGGCAATCGATCAACCAGTTGGTCATTACCTTTATTTTACATTTTGCTGGTCATCAAATCTTCTTCGGCTCTCGTGATCTCACCAACCACGAGAACAAGCAATTGGATGCCATGACATTCAACACATTTGTTTGGTTACAGTTCTGGAAATTGTTTGTCACCAGAAAGTTGGATGAGTGTGATGACGTGAGAAACATCAGAGACAGAATCACAATGGAGAATTTGAACTTTTTCCAACACCTTTTCAGAAACTGGTACTTTGTTGTCATTGCACTTTTGATCGGAGGCTGTCAAGTTCTTATCATGTTTGTTGGTGGTGCAGCATTCAGTACCACTCATCAGACGCCTGCCATGTGGGCCACTGCAATCTTATGTGGTGTGCTCTCTATCCCAGTTGGTGCTGTTATCCGTATCATTCCAAATTATTGGATAGTCAAGATTTTCCCTACTCGCTTCGCCAAACAATTCTTTTACTACGCTGGATTCGAATGGATGAGCAAGAAGAATAGAAAGAAGCATGCTGAAAGAGATTTGGAAAAGGCTGAGGAAGATTCAAATGAAGACACCGAGCTTGGTGCCGAAGAGATAAAACAGGTTCCCGAAGACTCTGTGCAACAAGCAGGAGCTATTCAAGAAGGAACATCTTATCCAAAAGCCACTGATCTGACGACCCTAGACCCAAAGGCTGCTCCAGTTGAAACGACCGAAACCACGATCCGAAAGTAATCATTTTTGATGAAACTACCGCTCCTTTACTTCATTAACGACTTCATTTGCATGCTCGAGCATATCGAGCTCATGAGCTTCTGTATTATAGCATTTATACACGATAATTAACGTTCATTTTCTCTGAGTTTCTGAATCAAGTTTTGCGATAAATCTGCTGTAAGCTGGTCCAAATGCAGAGAATTGGTGGAAGACGGTGGCGAGCTTCCGAAGTTCCTCAATACTTGTCAAGGTTGCATCTAGCTCTTTCTGTGACTTTGAGCGTAGCTGGTTTTTGAGAGACTCGAACAATAAATTCAACAGGGTTTGGAACTGATCAATTGAAACCTGGGAAGGATCGTGGCCAAGCATGTCTCGAGCACTTTGAAGTACTTTCAATACCTGCTGTATGTTTCTTTTCACCTGTTTTAGTAGAATCAAAGACTCCACAGCCACCAGTTGTTCGCCAGAGTCCTTTTTTAGTTTTTCATTGGCGTCTGTAAGCTCTTCTTGTAGCGTGTCAACAGTATTATGTAAGGCAGACACGTAGTATTGTAGCCTAGTGTTGTCGTCAGTTGACTCCGTCTCAATCGCTGGTGCCAAATTCAGAGACAAAGTTTTGAGGTTATCGAACTTCAATGCCAAGTCGCGGGAGATCTCATTCGTTTGATAGTCTAGGTGAGTTATGACGTCCAGCAGCGTTGATGAAAGTCGAGCTAACAGCTGTTTGGAAAACTTGTTGTCTGAGCCAGTAATTGAGTGGAAAAGAGCATCCACATACGAAGTTGGATTGAAGTTGTCGTCGAAGAACATAGTGAGCGGGTCACTCTGGGCATCATTAGCCTCTCGTGATGCACTTTCAGATGCCATGGTCGATGTGATTGAGTTGTAGATCAGTATAGTGCGAACACTACAGCGAAGCTAGAAGTCTCTCTGCCTAATCTCTGCCAAATGCCAAAGATTTGATGCTGGTTTTGATAGAGGAATAAGACCTTAATTGTACTACCATTTCGGCTTCCCCTTACTGAAAAAATTGAAATTTTGATATTTATAAGTTCACAATTTGTTTCGGCATTCATCGATTTGGACAATTTTGCAGCAATTTGACAAATGCGCACATGAGTTTCAGAACCCAATAAATATGATTTACTGAAGATGGTGTTGAATCAAGAGGTTGTGATGTCATTTCATTCGAGGCTAGGCCACATGTTTTCAAATTCTGCAACAGCTTCTTAACTTAACATATCACTGTTCCCCGCGACTTCTCAGATCTAATCTTACCAATGCAACTCCTTACCGTTCAGAAGGAAGTTTTAGACATACTCAAGGAGGTTGAACTGGGTGAATCTCAGGAAGACAAGTTCTGGATAGCGACAAGGGAGTCATCAGATGAAGACCATCTGACCTACGGAGATGTTCAAGTTCTACAAGGATCAAAGGGGGCACTTCTAGAATGTGACAACTTCGCGGTGACAAAGAATGGCCTCAAATCGATCTTTATAGATCCACCAGGCAGGGTTTGTACTTTGCCCTCATTGAGCATTGACATCCGTCTGGTGCTGGCAGTGGCTCTAACCAAGTCCACACGAAACCTCATAGTTGGCACAGAACAGGGACATCTAAAAAGGTTTGATACTGAGAGCAAGAAAGAGACGAATGAGGTGAAAGATGCACATTTCTCGGCAATCAAGCTTTTGCGGACATTTCCATCCGATAAAGTGCTTCTTTCAGTGGGGGGCGACTTCCAGATCAAGCTTTGGGATATCGAACTTGCTGAGGATAAACCAGCAAGAACTTTCCGCCACCAACAAAAGGCGATCACTGATATTGCTCTCATAGGTTCCGGCAGGAATTTTGTCCTGACTTCTGAGGATGGTTCTACCGTCTTGTGGGAGTGTGGCTCTGGTCAAGTTGTGTCTACATTTTTAAGAATCGACAATCACAACGACCCTGCACTCTGTGTTGTTGTAAATGCCACCAAAGACCCCATCAATAGCTCCGATGTAGTCTCCGGTGAATGTCTATACGAGTGTGACGATAAGGTTATGTATGTGGGCTATCAATCGGGTATCATTCAAGAATTCCGCATAGCCAGTCATAGCCAGTCCAGTATCAAGTTCAAAGCAGACCATGCAGTGACAGCGTTGGTATCCGCCGATGAATCGACACTAGTGGCCGGGTATAGCGACGGAACAATTGTGGTGTGGGATATAGACGCACAGACTCCTATGCACAAGGAGGTTTTCAACCCCTCCTTCCTGATAAGTAACATGACGATCAAGAGCACCAAAACCTTAGTGTTCGACAATGGCCCTGAGCTGCTACTCACAATGGACTTGGAGAGCTACAAAGTGGGGCAGCTTGTCGGGCTCACAGAGGCCTTCGATGTGAAGCTGATCGCTGCCGTTGATCAAACGGTCGTCGTTGCCACAAGCGATGAAATCGCTCACTTTTAAATCCTACAGGATGTAATATAAGTTATCAAAACTTGATTCATATAAACTGAGTAGAACACCAGGCTCGCTTACAACTTGGACTTTGGTCTTGGGTCGATCTGCTTGAAGACGGACTCAATGGCGGTAGCCTTCATCATGTTACCCTTGACCTTCAACTTACCGTTCATGAAAAGCTTCTGGCCGTTAGCCTTACCGTTGGCCAACTTGACGAAGTCAGCGTCCTTCAACAACAACTGGACGTCAGACTTTGGAACAGAGTCAACCTTGGCGATGGTACCCTCCTTCTTGAGGTCCAAAACCCAGGATTGGTCCTTGCCCTCCTTGTTCTTCAAGGTGATGACAATGACAGCCTTGACACCGCCAATAGCCTTCTTCTTAAGCTCAGGGTCCTGCAAACCGTCGTACAATTCCTTGAGGAATGGGGAAGAGTTAAATCCATCAGCAGTAGGGTCAGACATTATGCAATAAATATAATATGTATTGGTTGTAGAAAAAGTAAGATTGAGGCCGCGGGGGTGGCCCACTATATATGCAATTTGTCCACCGTCTTTCACATGGTCCGGTGCCTCGGTTGCTATGTGCACTTTTCAAATGGGCTTCTCCACAAAAACCGTCACCGCGCCAGCACACCACAGCTCGTGCTCTAACTGGTAAATCTCTTTGCGCTATTTCCGGCCGTTGGCTTCACATGTCCGAAATGACATTTACGGTGCTTTACAATTTTGTAGTGATAGAGGTGCCCTTCATTTGGCATTACGCTGGATCTTGTGTTACTACTGATTGGCGAGAGCGCACATGACAGACAGCTATAGGGAGATAGGAATTAAGCGTGGGGACGTCAGCCAATTATCTCATACTAATTTTTCACATTGTTGGTGTTTCGGAAATCCTCAATGTCACCTGTCGCTTACGCCCGATATGATTTTTTCATGGCCTTAAAATCACACCGTTACTAAATCCAGCCTCACGCCCTCGCGCCTGGCGACCTCGGTGAAAGATAGCTTCTCCACTTTTTACAATTTTCACGCACTCGCACTTGAGCCCTCCGGGGCTCCTGGTGCACGGATGTGCCTGTAGTAGAGCCGCTCAGCTGATGAAGCCCTCCCTACTTCGAAATTGAAATTGAGCCTTGCGGGATCAAGGTATTTGTGAACGACTTGAAAAAGGCGATCTTTTGATGCCATTTTCAGTGGTTATTGTAAACCCGTACACCAACCAACATCGCCTCACCCTGCACTACTCATCGCTAAGTGCTCTGTGGACAGGACTAGCACTACCCATGTCCTTCAAATCCGCCAGTTCCAGAGCCAAGGCAAAGGCCACGGTTAATAAACTATTTGACGATGTTCTTCCTGGCGCCAGTATTGTGCCTCTGAAAAAAGTCCATACCTCGACTGCCAGCGATTTCGCCCTGGAGGCTAGAAAGAGCCGTCTCTCTAAAGGTGAGGTGAGAAAGCAGAACAAGGCAGAAAGAGCCAAACAGAATAAGGCGATCAATAAAAGACTAGAAAAGGACAAAAAGTTTCAGAAACTTGTGAAATATAATGTCATTAAGGGCCACAAGGGCGCAGCCGCTAGTATGACGCCAGAGGAAGAGAAATACTTGAAGAAGCTCGTCAAGAAGAACTCCAATGCCTTGAAACGTTCCGCCGATATCAATGATCCCGATGTTGAGGATGAGATCATGTCTCTTCAACGAGAGATCATCGCCATGCGTGACGAAAAGCACGACAGATCCAGGGATCGCAAGCTCGATGCTAAATTACTGGCTTTCAATGACAAAATTAAGTCTGGAACGCTCTCTTACCCTGGCCTCACCCCTGGTTTGGCGCCAGTGGGTTTGGAGGATGACTCAGATGAGTCTGATGACGAATAATGGTTATTTTTGGTGTATCTGGTCTATAATAGAATACTTATTGCATGGTTAGCTAACGACCCAATTCGTAGAGCACCTGGCGAACGTCGCATGCCTTTTTTCTAACACTTCTCTTTTTGTCGTCTAAGCAAACCCGAAGCTTGTCTCTCGTTGATGCTTGGTATTTCACGACTTGCGGAAGCTCCACGCTATTAAAAATACCTTCGAGACACTCAAGCGCGAGGTATCTGATCTGCTCGTCGTTCACTAGCTTCTTACCAGAGACGATCTTAGTAGTGCTCAAATCAACGAGCTTGGTGACAAGACTATCGATGTTTTCGGAAATGAGGTCTGGTGTCTCTGTAATGATGACTTTAAAAGTGTCCAACGAAGCTTTCAAGACCACCGCGCTTTCGATGCTCAACCCGTTGAGCACTAACGGGAACACATCTCTCAAGTGTGGCTTCAAAACCTTGGGTGATATATTGCTGATTATGATGGCCAACGTGCCCAACAAAACTTCCTTCTTTTCATCACCTTGTGTATCCTGGAACCTCTCAAGCACTCTTCCCAAGATGTTTTCGAATATTTGTTGCTTGTAAAGAAGCTTCACATTCAAATTGGAAACTCCAGACACAATCTTCAGCTTACTGTTCTCTGGGTTCATGAAAACATCCAAATCAGCCATTAGGATGCTGAAGCATCTAGATGTTTGTTTGCTGTGAGCTGTGTCATCTGAGCGGAAAACCTCGTCCAACAACTCATTGAGATATTTGGAGCCCACTTGGTCAGCTCTCATGATCAAGCCCTTGAGTATCCAGGTGGCAATCTCCAATGAATTCTCATTGCCCTGAAAGTTGGCGAACAACTTTTGAAGAATGCTGCCATTAGTTTCATCGTTCTGTGGAGTGAATTTGTTCACAAGGATTGCAATCAATTGTAAGTAACCCATTCTCACAAACTCATCAGCAGCCGATGAGGTGTTATGAATGCATTGATCAATCTTGTCATGTACATTAGAAGGAAGCTGGCAACTCTTGTCAATTTTTGCGAGGATATGCTTAAGGATGGAAACCTTTGGCGTTGGTTCTGTGAAAACATTTAAAAGACCACCTCCAACTTCTGCTTCTCCGCAAAATTTTTTCAAAATCTCATCAAGGACGTCTTGTTGCTTTGACTTCTCAGTGTAACGTGTCACAAGACCAAGGAGTTGACCACTCAATTCAAGAATGGCAGCATCATCACTTGACTTGGCTATGATGAGGTCTAAGAATCTCGGATTGAAATTCTTATTCCAAGTGTTTGACATGAAAGGCTTGACCGATTGCGTCTGATTGAACGAGCTAATGAGACAATCAATTATGCTGCCCAACTGCTCTTTGTCGCAATTATCGAACTCAATCTTATTAAGAAGTCTGATTGATAAGACTTCGAGTACTCTGTAGTTGACGCATAGCTTTCTGATAATTGTCAAAATATTCGAGTCCGAGATGTTGTCCAAGAGAGTTGGTAAAACTATCTCAATAACACAACCAACGTTGGCGTTGATCTTCTCATCTGAGCCTTCGGTCATAAGATGCACTATGCCGCTGACAATTTCTGTAAGGAAGATATCTTTTTCCCATCCGCTGTTCCCAGAATCCACAAAATCAATCAAATTATCGTTGAGCCAACCAAGAATGAGCTGCACCTCATTGATGGCAAGAAAATCATCGAGCAGAATCAACTTGACTAGTTGTTGTGTAATTTTGCATTTGAGTGTTTTGTCTAGTTTGGATGATGTTTGAAGAAGCTGACCCAAGAAGATCAACAAATGGTCTTTGTAATCCAATAGATGAGTTGGCTGATTGAGCTCCAAGTTCGCTGTAAAAACAAAACCGAGATTGTCAATAAGATCTCTCTGACGAGCGACAGTAAGTGAAATATCGATCTCCATATCATCATCAGCTTTTTCCTCGTCTTGAAGATCGCTTCTCACGTACTTACCCCATACACCGAAAGAGAAGAAGAAGTCAACGAAACTGTTGTACACCGGGACGGAGACACTTCCAAGGGCACATATAAGGAGAACTGACTGCTTGACAGTTTTAGTGTCCTCAGATTCAAGGTTTGACTTGAGATCGTTTTTGACGGTTTCCACCAAAGACTCAACAGACTCTTGTGAGCTAGATAATCTTTCAGCCACGACACTCAACGTCTTGAGTGTCAAAATGAGTGTTTTGTTGTCATCACTATCATCAATCATCTCGTATTGAGGTGGGATTATATTGGAAGCCTGGGGCTGGAATATCAGCACGTCATTATGCAATATTTCAAATTTGAGAGCGTCCCAAATTGTCACCCAATACTGCTCGACGGTCGCTGCTTCGTAATTCTGCACAGACAAAAGAAGAGTCTGGAGAACATCATTTCTGACAGATGGATTCGTTGAGGTAAGCTTCTCAAAGAGTGATGGGAATGTATCTTGTGCAAATTGACTTTGCGATGCTATCGTCTTCCGCAATTCTTTCTTCAAGTCAGCAGCAGTGATCTTATAAGGGTCATTAGCTGGGGGTGAGAAAGATATTGGGAAGTAGCAAAAGCAAACGTCGAACAAGTCTGTGAGTAGTTGATCATGAGTCAGGTTTGTAGTTCTATCCTGGAATTGAAACTTCTCATTGATGGCAACGTTGAGTCTGAATGACATGAGCAAATTCCTGGGATCTTTCTCTCCGGAAGCGACATGCACGAATGCTTTAGTGAAAGCTTCCAGGAACTCTGGATTAGTGAAGATGGTCTCGCTATGCAGATTGAATAAAGTCTGAAGAAGATTGAATCCTTCATAACGTACTTTGGCCAAATGTTTCCGAGGCTCATACGCATCTGTGATAGCTGTGGTTAAAGTGATTAGGTTGTCATTGACTCTAGGTAAGAACTTCTTAAACTGCACCAACGAAGTTAAGGCACCAAGGATGTGGACTGTAAGTTTTTCATCTTCAAACTTCTTCACCAAGAACTGTAACAAAACGTTCACGTCTTGGTTTGTCAAACGTACAGTGGTTTTCAGCAAATCAAGGGTCACGCTTAAACAGTTGAGTGCATAGCTTCTAGTAGTAGGATCATCTGAGGTAAGAGTGGGACCTAAAACCTGAATGAACTGAAGCAAAGTCAAGGTTCCCAGGGCGAGCCTTTCTGAAATTTTCTGAGGTGCTTCATTGGAAACTTCGCCAGAAGCAACCGATGCTATGAACTGGTGCACAAGCGTTGCAGTATCGTCAGAAGCAGCCATAGTGTGGTCTATCTAATCTTGACGGGCATTAGGCATGTCGATCTGGTGTGCGCACGTCCTATAGACTACTCAGTCAGAGCGAATGGAAAAGATAAGGGTAATATAGATTTTTGCAAGAATATGCAGAATGATCCTAATGGGAATATACAATTGTTGGGTCGGTTTTGCCATAATAGCCTGGTTCAACTAATTGTTGTGATTTGGGTTTATTAGAAACGAATATAACCTAATTTCGCCATTAGTGATTTGCTGCAGAGGCAAAATGCTAATTAGAAACCCTCATTTATCACACCTTGCATTATATGCCAATGTATTATGCTGTACAGCAGGAATGATGGCCGCGGGTATGTGAATGCACAATTGCACTATTTGCACAAGTCGGGTTAAGCCCCGATGTAGCATAGGCGTATGCTATAAGCCCAAGCCGGCAAAAAATTGGTCTGGATCGATCAATTTCCCTCTGGAAAGTTTGTTTGAAGAATACGAGTATCAATTGAATGTTCCTTGAGCCGAGGTATACAGGCTTTTCAAATTACGATGTCCACCCAAGGTCCATAAACTGGTCGGTTCACAAGTTTTAAATCCAGTGCTATCACATCTCGCTTTAGTAACCCATTGTGCCTAGGGCCGTCCCTTCAATTCGCGTAAAACAATAGTAAACGCTTGTTCTTCAAATCCTAGCTCCGCACTCCTTTTCGAACCAATACGCGTAGAAGCATTTTATGATTTCTTCTTTATTCGTGGAAAGCTCTATCTTCTCTCCATTTTGTCTTTTTGTCTTTAACTTATCAGGTGCGGCCGAGTGAACCTGCCTTGATTCAGTGCGACACCTCTGATCAGAACCAAACATCACCTACATAGCGAGGTAAAGACCTCACATTACACCACAACACGGTGAAAGCATGATTGAAATTCCAACGCTCGAAGAGCTGGGACATTCGAGACAAGAACTCAAACAGCTAGAGCAGCAGTACGATCGCTTGTCTCTCTCTGAGAGTTTGAGGCCTGATAATGGCACCCTTCGAGGGTCCATCCCTGAAGAAGAGATTCCTCAGACACCCAGTCAAGCAAATGGCGATTATCCCGAGACACCCAACCAGGGACATCTTCAGGCAGCCCCCGAATTGGACGAAAATATAGACAATGGGTTTCCAGAGCATATAGAAGCTAGTCATAGCTTTCAATTTGGGGTCGCCACCCCAACACCACTCGGGCCTGCTTTTGATTATGATCCGGAGCTGCCTGTGGTTTCTGCCCCACAGCTTGTCAATACGCAAATGTCCCCCTTGCCCTCAGATCAGTACTTCCTGAGTAAGTACCAAAAACAAGCCGAACAATTACATTCCGAAGATACCATATACGAGAACACTGATGCATTTATGATCCACCCCAGCTCACAAGCACCATTCGATGAAACTGAGGAGTCAGACACTTCCCTCGATAATCAGAATCATGAAGTGCAAACGTCCACGCTAGAGCGCACAGTTTCCCAAATGACGCCGATACGCCCGCCCAGAGGCAGAGCAGCATCTGCACTGGGTCCGCATCCTCTACGAAAGATGGTTGCATCGTCACCGGAAAATGACATCAATGCTGAAGCTCACATGGAAAGTGTGAGTGACTTTGAGGCGCTAGACGAGTTCGATACCTCGGGACAATTCAATCGATTACCCTCCTCCAACTCAATGGGATTGGCACACTCACAGCTGCAAACGCTACATACTCCACAACCACCTCAGGGACATAATTATGTTGAGCCATCTCCTCAGCTCCCACCTCCGCTTTCAGCAAAGTCACTGAAGCTTGCAATTTCCCAAAGAGAAGAGTTCTCTCAGATGCGCAGAATTATGGCCACAGAGCAAAAGACACCCGCGGAGTACACCCTTCATATCGTTTTCACTCAGTTCGTCCGTCACGCTGAGCGCAAGTTGAATTTGTGCCTTGAATACCCTCTCCTGGAGGAACCACCCATTCTAGAGCTCTTGGGCCAAGGCTCTGACGCCAACTTTGATAACATTGTTTCTGCGCTTGGTTATATTGCAAAGCGTAAATCGAAGCCTGTGATTGACTCTGTGATGTTCTGGAGGAAATCCAAGAGTGAAGTAGCTGCAATGGCAGCCTCAGAGGTGGAAAAGATTTACTCCGTGGCGCAAGGTGACTTGGCAAGAATTGCTTCATCAGTAAGCAACTCAAGTAAACCTTCTCAACCATCCGTTCTGCCGAAGGCATCGAAGCCTCGTGGCAAGCGAAGTCTTTCACTAATGCATACGAAAAGTTTGTCCAAGTTGACTCACAAGAGAAACAACTCCGCATCTGTGGTGTCAACCACATCTAACGACCGAAAAAAATCTCTTGATGTGCCGGACACAGAGTCACTGGAGTACTCCCGACAGCGAAAGTATTACGATGAGCAGATCTCCCAGGCTCGCGACACAGCTGTTCAAGCAGAAAGAAAATCGCTAGCATCCATCTACATTTTATGCCGGGTATTGATCGAAGTGGTCAAGCAGGCCTCCTATGAAGCGGTTGGCGACGATTTGGGTGGAAAGCTCGAGGAAATTGTCTACACCCAATTGCGTACCACAGACCCTGTAACCACAAGAGAATCATTTGTGCGTCTGGCAAACTGGAATTTGTTCGCCGAACTTTTGGGCTACATGTCCGAGAAGCGCTTTTTGAGTGTGAGTGACCGCTTCATTGCAGATTTGGAGAAGGTCCCAACTACTGTCAAGCAAGCGGACGAGCCTAATATCAAACTTCTCGTTCACGGCATGAAGCATCTCAAACTTTCCATCTACCCTCTAGAAAAGTTCGAGGAGAGCGCAGAATTTCTTCAATCGATCACCAAATTCTTTTCTGCATCTCAAAATCACGGTGTCCTTATCGCATACGCCAAGGTATTGAGCAACCTTTTACTTCCATTGGCAACGCTGCTCACAGCGGAAGCAAATCACCCACTATGGGTTGAGACGACCACGAAAATCTTCAACAAAGCCGTTTTGTTGTGCAATTATTCCTCATTAAGAGCAACAAATGGTGCACCACCCCTGATTCCGTCGACAGTATCGACAGAGGAGATCACTGCATCAACCAATGATTGGGCTACATCTGTCGAATTGATGACCTCTGCTTTATGTGTCTCTTCCAAGGAGCTCTTTGCCAAACACTGGTTCGAGGTCATAAAAACTAATGCCGCCAAACTTAAGCCGAAGAGCGACGTCGCAGACAAAACAAAGTTGATGATTTGCGCATCTAGACTCCTTTGGGTTTACATGAATCGTCTTCCCGACACACTCAATAACACTATTGAGCGTCTAGACAGCTTCTTTCAGTTCTTGTTTTTCGGCCCTCAAGTATCTGGCAAGAAGCAATGGATCGTCTTAGATAGTGGGTTGATTAACGCTTTGTCAGAGGTTATAAGAATTGTTGGCTTCCATCATTTTAATTATGTCTTGGATAACGTGATTTTGAAGTTATTGAATAGCAGTTTCAACGGTCTGAGCTTGGAGAATGCTTCATCAGAGAAGCTTATTTTGGTCATAGAGTCCTACATGCTTTGTTTGAAGGATTCAAAGCTGGGCGATAAACCCAGCTTTCCTACCGACAAAGTATTCCAAGAGGAATTTGCTTTGCAGTTTTCGTCTACCGATCATAGCAGAAAGAACAACAAGATTTCAATCTCTGACGAGCAGATGAGCGAGCTTCGGAGATGGAACAAATTCATGTTTGACTTCAAGAACATCAAAAATTTCGAGACTCACGAAGACATTTGTCGGACAATTGCTGTTTTGTTCAAACTTCTCGATAACCGCTGCGGAATGACCGGGTGGACTAGTTCACAAGGACCAGCATCGTTGGGTAACAGTGTTAAATCATCGTTTTCAAACTTGCCGTTTGGATTAGATTTCTCTTATCAAAGCTCCAGAGATGCTTTCAAAGATTTGTTTGCCGCAACCATTAACGCGTGTCCATGGTCGATCATCCCTCTTGCAAGCGAGAAGGGTGGCTCTGGCATTGGAATCACCTTCAAAGCTTGCGCCGAAATTCTCATCAGAAATAGCATCCACTACAATACTCAAATTGCCAATGCGTCAGTCAACGCATTATTGAAGCTAGCTTCACGGAAAAATGCTGGTGAATTGATTGCCACGTTTGGTAAAGTTGCATTCCGGCTTACCGAGAAGCCTGGCCCACTGTACGATTCTGACTACTTCAATTCCGAGGAATTCTTAAGATTATTGAGAATTTATGTTGAGCTTTTGAGGTGTTGGTCTATGCAATTTTCGCCAGAGACCGAACATTTTACAGCCCAAGAAAGCGGAGAGAACGAGCTTATGAACAATGACGTTCTCAATGATCTCTATCAAATCAACTACAAGGCACCAGACTTGACAAACTTGGACATCCCTACCACCAAATGGAAGCCTTCTGAGGAGCTTGAATGGAAGAATATCGTTACTGTTATAGAAGAGGTTGAAGGAAATGGTCTCTTTTTCCTATGTTCACAAGACAGCCATGTCAGGGCATTGTCTCTTTCAATTTTGAGAATTGTTGAACAGTTTGACCAATCGTTATACAATCTTACTGACAGAAAAAGAGAACCCACGCCTGGCTCCAACGGTTCCGTGAAGGGCCACTCTCGCAATTCCTCAAAGTATGTGGCAGACGAAGGAACAAGGTTGATCCATGTTCTCGAAGATGTGGATCTTATGAGTCTTTTGAAACCACTAAAGCGCGACTTGAGTGTACCCGAGCGCACTAGACTCTCAAAAATCAAGGCCAAGAAGGGACTATTAGCCAAATTCGCTTCTTCGGACCATGGTATCGATAGTACCATTTGGTTCAGAATTTATCCAAGATTGCTAGACATATTCTTTGAAAGGTGTCCTATGCCGGTTGCAATGTGTCGTTCGATAGTTTGCGTGAGACTCGTGCAAATGCATGAGTTGGTTCTTGACTTTTCGGATAACTTCAAAAACTACACATCGTCACTTTTTACCCGCAACTCAACGTCAACACCTCCAGAGATTCTCATCAATCAATGGAAGCTCTATCTTATTTTTGCGTGCTGCTCCTTGACAAGTACGAATGACCAAAAGATTTCGTTTCCATCCCAGCCAACCCATGGCCATAAAAAACTGATGACAATGTACATTCAGCACCAAAAGATAACTAGCGCAAAATCAGTCTTCCGTATGGTGCTACCACTACTCCGATCCCTACAACCAATGATCAGAGAAGCTGTTATTGCAGGCTTGAGCTCAATCAACATTAACATATTTAAGACACTCGCTGAGAACCTACCAGAATCAATGAATGACTGGAATTCTGACGTTTTAAGGAGAGATGTCGCGGAGGATCGGGTTCGAATTGAAACTGTTCATATTCTTAGCATCATTACCAGCAGATTCAAATCGAATAGTCTTCTTTATGATGATGAGAATACGGTTGAAAACCTTGTTTCGATTATCAAAAACGTGAAGGCATTCTTGTCACTTACCGCAGTTCAAACACTGCCTGAATATCAACGTTTGCGGTGTTACTTTGCTGCACTACTTGAAAATGTTTTTGTCGGATTGAATGAAAAGCTGGACCTCAATACCTGGCTTCCATTCGAGGCGCGTATCGGGTGCTTCAACTACCTCAAGGAATGGTGTGGGTTTGGCGATTCAAAAGATGTTCTTGAAGAAAGAACTCAAATAATGAAGCAAGCTGCACAGCAATCGAAAGAGCCCGCTACAGCTGTGGGTCTTCTTGAGATCGATATCAAAGCATTACAAATTTCTGCCTTGAGCTGCATGGCAACAATATGTTCTGGAGCGTTGAAGCAGTCACTCATAGTTCCTGGAAAGACAGCTGTTCTTTCATTTGATATCAAAAGTGTGATGAACTGGGTGCACGAGATAATTAATTCTCCTAACGAGCGTGTGCAAGAGATGGGCAAGTCGGCTCTCACGAACATCATGGATATCAACATCAATAGTGACGACATCTATGACGAGGTTTTGCGGCAGTGCTACAATCTGGAGAATTCTTCCAAGGTCAAAGAGGTGTACTATACAAATTTAGTGACTTCTTTCCTCAATCATCGTGATATTGACAAGATGCCATACGACTTGTTCTGTCTCTCAACTTTTTTGGTCGGTACAGAGAGCTACCAAACCCGTGTATCAGCGATTGAATGCTTGAAGTCCATTGAGAGTCGCTTCCTCAACACGACGACAGCAGACTATTTCACTGAGAGTGTGTGTTGTACGACTATGGTGGTCTACAAAAAGGTTCTTTTCGAGATTTCCGTGAAACTTGCGTCTCTCCATTCCAAAGACTCTTTCACTTACATCAGTTATTTGACTAAATATTTCAACTTGGTCGATAATTCTACCAGAAGAGACATTTTGGCTTGCTTACTTCCTTGGGTTCAAACCGTCGAACTCAAGTACAAAGTCAAAGAAGAAGATGCAGCTGAGTCAACGGGACCCCAGTCCTCATCTCAACCTTTCAACAATGAAATTGACGCTCCCTCTCTAATGGTCCTCAATAACTTGTTCGAAATCACCGTCAAGTTCAGCAAAAAGATCAGTAATGAAGTCGAGGCCTTGTGGGTTGCTTTAGGTACGAAGCAAAGTAATTTCGACATCATTGTGGAATATATCATGAGAAATTGTCTTGAGAGGAGAAATTCAAGCTTTGTTTCGTACTCGAGGCAAATCATTGCATATTTGGTTTATTCACAACCTGACTCTTCGGTCATCATTGGGAAAATGATTGACAACTTGCAACCGAAAGCAATGGTTCCACATCCATTATCCCAAGCAGCATCAAAGACAGCAGACCTTGTTGAAGGTTTCCCTTATACGGCGAACTTGACAGAATTGCTCTCTCACAATTCGAAGGAATCGGCATTTTCGCTCGGGCAATTGTCAATGGTGTTCTTGGTGGATTTGTTCAGATCCAATAACGAGATGATCATTCCACATTTACCTTTACTATTACATGTTTGCTTCTCCTTACTTGATCATTACTTTTATGTCGTGCAAGAACAGGCTGCTTCATTATTGATCCATTTGGTGCATTCGATTGCACCAACCAGTCCAAAATCAGCTCAAACTATTGATATCTTGAGACAGAAAGATCACTTGAAGTATCTTTGGGTATACGATGACCTCAACAACGATAAGAAAGGAGGAATCACACCTAGAAACATGGACACGCTTGTTAGAAAAATACTTGAGATATTTGCACCCTCCGTTCCTAACTTGCAGGCTGACTGGAGCCGTGTCTCACTAAAATGGGCTACCACTTGTGCTGTGCGTCATATTGCTTGTCGATCGTTCCAGATCTTTAGATCGCTTTTGACGTTTCTCGATCAAACGATGCTCAAAGATATGTTGCATAGATTATCTAACACAATTGCTGACGAATCTTGCGATATCCAGGGATTTGCCATGCAGATATTGATGACCTTGAACGCTATTACTGCGGAGCTAGATTCTGAGAACCTCATTGATTTCCCTCAACTTTTCTGGTCGAGTGTTGCATGTCTTTCCACGATACACGAGCACGAATTTATCGAGACAATATCAACCATGTCTAAGTTTGTATCGAAGATCGACCTTGATGCGCCAGACACCATTTCATGCCTCATCTCCACATTCCCACCGAAATGGGAGGGTAAGTTTGAAGGGTTGCAACAAATCGTCATGGTAGGGTTGAGATCGTCCGTCGCCTGGGAGCCTACGATAAAGTTTTTGGATAAACTCAACCATTTGAAAGATAGTGAAATTATTGGCTCTGGTGACCATCGTCTTTTTGTTGCAGTTATTGCCAACTTGCCGAGATTTCTTCATGCCCTAGGGGAGCAAAACATCACTCCTGAAATCGAGAAGGCTTGTAACCTCATTGGGGAGATGGCTGCGACATGCAACAAGCCGGCCCTAGCGAGGATATTGAATTCGCTTGCAAAGTCCAGGTTTAGGTCGAAGAAAGATTTCTTGGTGCAAACAATATCTACTTTGAAGGTTAGTTTCTTCCCGGAGTACGAAGCTCAAACATTGGTTCTTTTGCTCAGCTTGCTCTCGAACCAGATTCCATGGATGAAGCTCGAAACATTGAACATATTGAAGCACACCTTCCCGCTCGTCGACTTGCTGAAGGACGAGTTTGTTGGTGTAGGAGCAGACCTCATTTCTCCATTATTGAGACTTCTCCTTACAGAGTACGCTGAACCAGCGCTTGAGGTGCTTGATGAAGCCGTCGTGATTTCTGGATCGCAGCTTGATAAGGACATTTTGAGAATGAGTTTGGGTAACTCATCCATGAAGAAGGAATATGAGCAGACAGCTACGTTGTTTGGATTTCCAGACGAGAGTGGGTGGGCAATTCCCATGCCTGCGGTCACAGCTGCCAGTACAAGGAACAACATCCATGCTGTATTTGAAACCTGCAATGAGAGTATGACAGTTGACGAGAAGCAGAAAGATTTCGCCAACGAAGAGATCGAGTTCTTGATGGAAGACTACTACGAGCCGGAGCCCGATCATGCAGATGCTGCATCCACAGCCAACGAGGTACCTGGTGCCACACTTAGTAATATGTGGGCCGCTTTAGATGACTTCGATTCGTTCTTTACGAAAGACACGGAGCAAAGGGCTCAGATTGTTTCAAGCATGGCTACGAATGGCAGAAACTTCTCTGGCAAAAACGCGGCCTACCACGCTCACTCGGCATCCATTGACACCAAGGAAAGCAATAATAGTGACTTGACATCACCAATTGACTCAGCGCCACATGTCTATGACAAGAAGGCTCTTGTTATCTTGAACAGAAGTTTGGCAAGAACACAATCCAATACCTCATTCAAGAGCAGCTTGGCAGATACTTTCGGCAGTCCTAGTGCTTACGGACCACTGGAAAATCCTGGCACTCGTAAGTCTTACATTCCCTTCAGGAGCAGCAGAGTTGCTAAAAAGCAGGACTCTTTCACGACTCCCAAGATGAACCCAGGAACACCCTCGTTCGAGCAGCCAGGCCTGAGCTCTGCGAAGACTCTCAAAGGCAGTCCGTCCCTTTCACTCCATCACACAAAGACAGGAGGGTCTCTGGATGCTGTCAATGACATACCCAAGCTAGAGTCTACTACTCGGTTGGACAATCTTCTTGGTGGAGGTCGTAAAAGGAACAGAAAATAGGCGACCCAGCCCTTTTCTTAACTCTATAGCCAGTGTGTATGCAGAATTTTGCACCCATTATTCGAGCTCGTGACTGAACATTGTAGTTCCTGTGTCTATGGATCCATGCGAAAAGCAATAGCGGAAAGCATTACAGGAAAAAAAAACCTTGAAAAGATCGTAAATTGAAGTTTCTACAGTGAAAAATGCCCCCTAAGAAGCAACAAGGACCCGACAAGGCTAAACAAAAAGCCAAGGCGAAAGCTGCGGAGGATAAGGGCTTCGGCATGAAGAATAAGAATAAGTCGAAGAAGGTCCAGCAGCAAATCAACCAGATGAAAAGTGGAGTTGATGGTGGATTGGCAAAGAAGAAGGAAGCCGAGGCCAAAAGAAAAGCCGAAGAGAAGAAGGCTGCTGAACAGGCCAAGAAGGAGGCTGCTGCTTTGTTCGGAGTCCAACAACAGAAGGTTCCATTTGGCGTTGATCCAAAGTCCATCTTGTGTGAGTTTTTCAAGAATGGTGTGTGCAGCAAAGGAAACAAGTGTAAGTTTTCCCACGATATCAATGTTGGACGTAAGGATGCTAAGAAAGATTTGTATACCGATGCAAGAGCCGAGAAAGAGGCTGATACCATGGACAACTGGGATGAAGAGAAGTTACGAAAAGTCATTTTGTCGAAGCACGGCAACCCCAAGACAAGTACTGACAAGGTCTGCAAGTATTTTATCGACGCTGTCGAGAACGACAAGTACGGTTGGTTCTGGGTCTGTCCTAATGGTGGTACCGAGTGTATGTATAAGCATGCCTTACCTCCAGGATTCGTGTTGAAGACCAAGGAGCAGAAAAAGCTAGAAAGATTGGCGAAGGAGTCCGAACCAGAGATCACTTTGGAGGAGTTTATCGACTTGGAAAGAGGAAAGATGGACAAATCCAAGTTCACACCGATCACCTTGAAAACATTCACCGAGTGGAAGAAGAAGCAGTTGGAGAAGAAGGCCGAGAAGAACAAAGAACAAGGCAAGAGAGCTCAGACCGGAAGAGAGATTTTGCAAAAGAAATTTGCAGACAAATACTACACGGAAGAAGGTGGAGAGGAGAACGAGATGGACTTGTCTTCCTTCAAGCTGGCCTTGCCTGAAGATGACAAGTTTAAGGATTACGGTGATGGTACAAACGCCGACTTCAGCTAGTTCTGAAGCTCGGTTTGATAGAAGAGGAAGAATGGAACGCTGGCTCAGCGCGAGTGACGTTGTCATTTACATTATCATTACTTGATACGCATTGGGGAATTGTGCTGCCTTCACAGGACCCCACGACACATACATAATGGCCGTTTCGTTCAGATACGGTCTGGGCGAGTACATAATGGACGATCAAAAGTAATATTCTCTATTGTATTCCTTTACCGAGGAAGGTCAAGGTCTCTTGGAAGAACCTTTCGTCTTGGTCTTCGAAAAATGCAATATCGACTCCAGCGCCATCTAGTGTCTCAAGAGCTCTCGAGAGACGTTGTAGCCACATCCCGCCTTTCTTGTCGTATTCTTCGAGCTCATAGTAACTACTGACATCGTGGATTCGAAGGAGACTCAACTGCTCGTCGACGTCATATTCTTTAACAGGAGGTGATGTTCTTCTTCTTGGAAGAGGGGGTGGAGTAGCTCCACGCTGCTCGGAGATATGTTCATGCAAAATCTGTGTATCTGATTGACCGCCACACTTTCTCTCCGGTAAAGGAGGTGCTTTTGGAATACTCGAGCCTTTCAAAGCACTAGGCTTTTTAGGGATCAGAGGTGGTTGTTTTTTCAATGGTTTGGGAGACTCACTCCTTGGAGAGTCTTCAGTAAGATCAATCAAGTCTGCAGTTGATGCTTCAGGAGACTTCTTGTTGGAGCTCTTGGTTGCCTGCTTTGATTTCCACACATCGAGAAGTCGCCTCATCTCTTTCAAAATATTGCCGTCATCGACATCTGACAATGAGTCTTCAACGACACGAATGTATATGCTTTTGACTTGGCCCGGATATGTCTCAGCAAGATCAACATAGGCCTCAAAGTCATGTTCACCTGAGTCACCCACGCAAATAAACTGCTTTTCTGGGAAATCATTGAGAATTCTCGAGAGTGACGTCTTCTTTCTGGAGCTGGATGGCTCCATGAGTGAAGATATGATGTTTCCAGTGTACTGTTTCAAATGAAATGAGCCAGGTGGGAGGTTCACCAGATGAAAGTACTCATGAATTGTTGCGAAAAGCTGCCAAGGGGAGTTGGACACGTAATGAAAGGTGGCATTAAAGCGGTGCTTGATCTCATTGAACCAATTGACCACCGGCTTGATCTCCCACGAGTCGACTTCACCGAGAAGCAACCTCCTCATGAGCTCTCTCTTGTCTCCAATGACACCGGTAAGCTTCACGGTGTCATCAATATCACTGATGATACCATAACCTTTGTAGTCCACAAGATGAATCTCTTGGAATGCACAGACAGTCTCGTCGATCTTACTTGTTACCAGAACGACTGAGGGCTGATAGGGCACCTCAAGTTCAGCGCTAAAGTGTCCATTAGGGTCCGTGACAACCGACACTTGCCGTAGTTCCAGATGATCCAGAGCATCAGCTCCAACCACTATGGCAAGGCCTGCGTTGGGGATCGAACGTGCTAAGAAAGACGAAAGACGGCTTTTGAGACGAGCATCGAAATCACGCAGTTGAGGCGAGGCAGAGCTAGCACCTGAAGCACCCGAGCCCGTCGTGGATATAGAAGCGTTATCAGAATCATCTTGTTCCGATGGCGAGGCGACATCTTGAGACAAGGAGGGATCATGCTCGAGCCGATCAACGGCCACCTGAGCGGAATCGTCATTGGAACGAGTGACTTGTTTGGCCAAAGACAATACCAAACGATTTTTTCTAGACATCGTTCCCGGGCACCACATCCAGCCACGTACGGTGATGATGTAATGATCACTAACCCTTCTCGTATACGAGGGATATAGCGTGAACTGGGTACTCTTGGGTAATGCAGCCACCATTCCGTACTCATCGTACTCAATGGATCTTGATCCGATACCTGAGGCAAACAGGGATACAGAGGTAGTTATTTTTGGAATGTAAGTGTCTCTTGTCGCTCTAGCGAGGCCAAGGAGTCGTTGCCTTCTGCTGGTGGGTGCTGGCGATGATGAAGGGGAATAATTAGACCCATTTGAGCTTGGTCGGTTTTGTTCGGACATTTTGGGAAAACGGAGGCTCCAAGGGCCACGGGTCTTTAAAGCACGGTAGTCTGTGTAGAAGTTCTTGATGAAGCGTAACGAGGAACGGCTGGAGCGAGGACGAAAGAAGCGGTTGATGAAAGCAGCGGGTGATCGGAGGCGAGAGCGAAGGCCCGGCCTGATATTTTTTAAGTTTCGGGGTTTCAATTTGGATGTTTCGCCTCCAGGGCTTTCCTCATATAGTGATCACTTGAGGTAAGTGGAGCAGAGGTTGCGGGATTGAGAGTAGCCGTTAGATGTCGGTTTACAGCTGCAGGGCGTACGAGACAGGACGATGTGAAATGGGAACAGCGTGACAAAAAGATTTGCATCAGGTTTTTTTTTGATGGAGTTTGATTGGATACAATTTCTTGGCTTTCTGGATGAGATTTATCGGTTTTTCGACGAGAAAAGCGTTTTTCGTGGTGTAGGATTGTACTAGGCTGCAGAGAGAATATGTAGGGTCTTTCGAGTTGCATGCCGTTTGACCACAAAATGCCTAACCACCTCGGTCTTTTTTGATGACCGATCATTTTACTAATTGAAGACCCCAAAAGGAGTGTTTTACAAAGTGCTAAACAAAAAGATAAAAAAAGAAGGTCAATGAGATGGAGGGTGGTAAACTGGTTGAGAAGTACCACATGAATCCTAGATAGGAGTGTCAGACCAAAATGCTCAAAGAGAAGCTGCTTTTATGAAAAGCCAGTTGTTCAGTCATGTAACAGCTATTTTGCTTTTTATTGTGTTTAAGATTGCCTGTTTTTGGCCATCTTCATGAGGTACCATCTACAGCCTCTTCCGGACTCGGAGCTTTGGCTGCGAAAAACACTGAGGCTGAGATCACAGCTACACACACCGAAGATGCTAGTTTGCACGCACAAAGTCATGATATTAAGCTAGTGGACCAAAAGGAAATAATAGAAAAGAAAGTAAAGCAGCAGTTCAAGTTCCCTTATTTGGAAACAAAGCGGTCGGTCATACCTTGCTTCACAAGACATATGAGGCAACTGATAAGATTTATCACGGGAGCTAGAGTAACTGTTCCCTCTTATCATATCGAATCATCGAAAACATTTTATTCAACATTCGTACCGTCCGCCACCTCTTCCTCACAAGGTTCCCCTAATCTGATTTTGCAGAATCTTCTATCGTCTTGGCTCGGATTCATACACTACCGCACCCCGGAATAAGCCAAAAAACAGGACACCAAATCTACAGCTATCTATTGAACACCTCGATGTCGTTGCAAGATCTTTCCATTGGAAACGACCTTAAAGACCAGTTCAAGCCCACTCATAAATGGATCAACAATGGTATTTCGTGGTTGCTGGACCTCGAAAGCTTCTACAAAGAAAGAGCTACCATTGAACAAGAATACGCAGCGAAGCTAAGGGACCTCAGCAAAAGACACTTTGCTAAAAAGGCGAAACACTCATCGTCATTATCTGTCGGTGACGAGCCTCAAATAACCCCGGGATCGTTGGAAAGCGCTTCAGTGGTCTTGTGGAATGAGGTGCTTACGCAGACTGAGAATATTGCCAACACAAAAGACAAGTTAGCCGACGAATTCACCCTGAACATTGCCTCGAATATCGTTCAATTGCAAAGCAAATGTCTGAATATATCCAAGCACATTGAGACTATCCACGACTTCTTGCACACTGAAAAGACTAAAGTTGAGGACGATGTCTCAAAGTCTAAAAAGCATTACGACTCCTTGTGTCAGCACACAGAGAATGCCAGAGTCAAGACAGAGAAGTCTTCGAGTGAGAAGT